AATGCCTGGGTGGTGAATATGCCAAACACCTTAGCGGGAGGTTTCATAGGTATTTTCCTACAGCAGAGAACTGACTGAACTCCTGTCTCTTGAGATTTTTACATTCTCATGGAAATAAACGTGTTATGACTGACACAATAGCATCCACCCCTTCTCTGCAACCTCCCTGCCCCATATGCTTCAACTTTGCCATCTTTCCTTTGCACAGCCTGGATTTCTCTTTGAGGTGTTTCTCTGAGTCCCAGGCTCTTCATTTAGCCATACAAATGTCAGCTCTGCATACTCCCTCTCGTCTGCTCCTTTCTCTTTCAATCTGTTCCTAACCTCAGCCCTTTCCTTCCACTTCACAGTGTTTTTCTTTACCCAAATTCACTTTCCTCCATATCCCATCCTACTGCAGACCCTCCTTTACTGTCTCCTGGCTTGACCTTTCTGTTTCCTTCTCAGCATCCCTTCCTTCCTCCTTCTCAGAGTTACCCTCAGTATGCTCTAAATCCCCCTTTGCCATGACCTTTAAGCTTTCCCACACCAATATCTGGTATGCAACAGGTGCCCCCCCCCTCCACCATCTCCAGGTATGTCAAACATCAGGCTGTGCAAAGCATCCCCTGTGAAGGTTTTGAATCTCCAAGCAGGAAACCCAAGACAGTGCTGTATGAGCTGAGTTCTCTCCAAGAGCGTGTCTGGTACCTTGCGGTCTGGGCTCTGTTTTGCACCTATAAAGACCTGAGACTCTAGCCTGGAGTACAGGGCATTCCTGCCCTCAGACAAGCATCTCAAGCTTTGCAATCAACCCACAAGGGTAATACTGCATTTTTCTTGCAGTGTCTTCTTGGTACCAACAGAGTCTCCTCGATTTGCTGGGAGGAGTCCAGGTGTGGATCCATCTGAGACATGGCCAAAATATTGAAACATGCCCTGTGCTGCTGCATAACATGGGTTGAATTTTCAGTGTCTCCCGAGGGAAAAGCTATAAAAGAGTTTAACTCTCTTTGCTAAAGGGTTTCTCTTCTTTCCTGTCATCCCTCTGTGTTACTAGAGTGTCTTTCACTAATATCTTCTCTCACTAAGATCTCCTTTTCATTTCCTCCCTTTCCCTTTCTTCCTCCCAGCCAATTTACAAACTCTTTGGCAATGGCACAGCTGTGTGGGAATGGCTTCACAATGACAGAGAACAAGGTTAGATTGGATATCAGGAAGAAATTCTTCCCTGTGAGGGTGGTGAGGCCCTGGCACAGGTTGCCCAGAGAAGCTTTGACTGCCCCATCCCTGGAAGTCTAAGGCCAGGTTGGATGGGACTGGAAGCAACCTGGGATAGTGGAAGGTGTCTCTGCCCATGGCAGGGGGGTGGAATGAGATGATTTTTAAGGTCCTTTCCAACCCAAACCACTCCATGACTCTATGAAAGGGTCAGGGAGGCAGCATCCAGCTTTGCAAATGAGGTCGTTACAGGCAAAGCTGAAAATTTAACCCAATCCCTGATAGGATTGGACTGACTCCCACTGGGTTTGTTTCTCAGGAGACATCCAGTCTGAGTTTGGTCACTCTGTCTGCAAACATAGCTTTAGCTCTTAAGCCCTGCTTTTCTTCCCAGCACGGATATGAAATCCAGCAGATAAAAACTGGGATCCTCTCCCTGTGCCTTCCCCAATAAAAGAGGAATTTATATTCCCTGCAGAACGCTTATGCAGAAGATGGTTGTCTGTGTGTGCTGCTTGCTGTTCATTTAACCAGCATGCCAGACTGCAGTAAGCCCTAGTTTTTGTTGTTTGTTAAAGAGTTTCCAACAAAATGTCTGCTAAAAAATATCATCATGGCAAAAAGAAACATCTCATGGCAATGTTTTCATTCAGTGAAAACTCTGGGGATGTAGAATCCTGGGTCTGGGAGGAAAACCCTGACAAAAAGTGGTGTCAACGAGTCTATTTTCTTTGTGGAAATAACAAGTATCTTTTATTTAAAAAATGCTTAATGTATCAATATTAACTGCAAATATTGTGGAATAAGGGGTTTATCTCTCAACACCTGGATTAGGGAGGGAACTTCATCCTGAGTCTCCTGTTCCTCCTTTACTTAAGAAAAGCCACATCCAAAGGGATCTCTCTAGCCCAGGGCAAGTGTTTCACAGTTTTCCCTGCTAGAGCATATCTAACCTGCATAAATACTTAAACACTTGCTGAGAGAGGAGAGCATTTTGCAAGAGATTGATCTGATAGTGCTGTTGTTCAGGCATTCACACAGGATGTGGGAAACTGAGGTTCAGGTCCCTGCCTCAATGAATATTTAACGATTTATGGAAAGCAGCAGGCGCAGTAGAGAGGAATGAGACACAGTAATACCTCTGGAGTTGGGGCACTTATAGGGCATGCTGGAGGGGGCAGAGCAAGATCTCATTCCCAACTCTCCCACACTCCTGGTGACTGTCCCAGCCGTGGCTGGCTGACTTGCACTGTTTACCTCAGAGGAAACCTTCAGAGCTTGCCCCTGTTCCACTGCAAAAGTTTTTAAACCTCTGTGTAGTACAGATTACTCCAGTTATGACATTTTCCAGCTTTTCAGGCCTCTGTTTTTCAGTTAATGCTATTTTACACTGTACAAATACTTAAAATGCAAGTTTAAAGGTTTTTGTCTTCCCTGTGACCTCTCAAGGAAGCAGTCTGAATAGTTTGCTGTATTCTCAGCCTGGATTCCAGGGCCTACTGGTCTGGGCTCCTGAGTATTTCTGTGGCTGAGAAAAAATAATTAAAAACCAAAAAAATAATGGGGTTTATGTTTGGTTGGGACAGTCATAAGGCTTGAGGTCAGGATTGCAGGAGCAATTTCCACAGACTAACACTACCAAGCTGTGTCTTATAAAGTCCTTAAGGATTGGGAAATTCGGAGGTAAAAATAAAACACCCACTCTGAAGCAACATTAATATTATGTTATCAGGCCTCACCACAGAAGTGTTGGCTTATCACCTACATGCACTCCTCCTGGAGTCCAGGAGCCTGGGCTCACTGTTCCACAAAAAGTCCACATGCAGAGGAAAGGGCAGACATTATGTGGCAGGTGGGGTGAACATTTGAATTTCATGGTATCTCTGGGCCTTCTTCCCAATCCTTTACTCTCCTTCAGTTTGTCACCCCCTTTTTATGCTTGCTGTTCGCACCAGGTTAGAGAATTTATGATGTGAAATCCCAAAACTTCATCCTTATGTTCATACAGTCACCCCAGGTCTCTTTTGCTTGGCCATTGTAGTCCTCAGTGTGGACTTTAAACCTGTCAGATCTAACTTTGCTGCTCATCCCCTCAAATACAGGCGTCCCTGGCTGCTGACTTCAGCAAACACTGGTTCTCTTTGAAGCTTTCACCAGCTAAATACCTTCAAAACCACAAAATTCTCCTTAGAGCAAATGGGTTGTGAATATTCATATCCCTGCTCCCTCATCTTCCAGCTTGCTGAAATCCTCTTTAACTTATCAAGGAATGTAAAACTGAAAGTGTTCCCATCCATCAGGTACTCTTGGCAGACAGGGATAGCTCTGCTTTGAGGCAGGGAAAGGACATGATTGAGGAATGGCACCCAAACTTCCCATCTGGTCAGTGGCTGGGGCAGCTCTGTCCTCAAAGGAGGTAAAGAAGAGCCCAGATCTGATAGACTACTCCTAAATAGGAGATGACTGCCTGCAGACTGGAGTTAGGACTAGTTAGGAAAGGTCAGTTCTATGCCAGTTCTTTCCTAGCACAGGCAGTGACCTTCCATCTCCAAGAGATGTTCCCAGACACACACAGGTTTAATGCAACAGACACTGTCTTGTTGTCAAATCCAATAGGATGAAGGACCTCACTTTTATCTTACTCAATTCAAAAAACATCCAGCTTGTGGGGAAGGGTAAGATATGTCCTGTTTTGCTGCTTTGTGAAAGGCCATTTAGCAATAAACATGTAGCAGAGGAGGTAAAATTTGTTGCACAATCCATCACCCTGACCTTTGCAGGAAATGAAGCTCTGCTTTGGAGCTCATCAACAACAACTCACAGCATGATTTACTGCTGGGGCTCCCTAATTTTGTGCTAATGTAACTCTATTGATTTCTGCAGATTTGCAGTGGTATTACATGAGAGGAACATGAAAATAAACAGAGCACTCAGTTTGATGAGGAGACTGTGTGACAGAGAGCTTGCCTGTGTTTTCCAGTTTTGTCATCTGGCCTAATGAAAGCCACTACTTCTCCATGTACTCCTCAGTGCCATCAGTCCAAGCATGGTGTTAGTTTAAAAAAGTGATAAATTACCTTCTCTTACTGCTGTCTGGATCTAAAGCTATTTGTGAATTAGTACCAGTAGGTATTTAAAGAGAAAAGAAGAAATTAAAATCAATTCTGAAAATGCCCCTAAGTAGTACAAATAATGGAAGATTTGTAAATTAGTTGTGCTCAACATATCTGTCACCAACAGGGATGACAAATGGCTGTATTTTTCCAATTGGTTTGTAACCACCCTGGAGAACAGTGAAAGTTGGATGAAATTCTTGTGCTGCCACTTATTTTTCTATTTGCTTGTTGAAGTTTTATTTGTCTCTGTGCTGAGCACAAATGGGCTGCTTTGGGCTGCTTCTCTGGCTATTGGTTCATGCTGCAGAAGGACAAACATGAAGCCCTTGACAGCTGCTATTCTGGCTTATCAAAGACTTGCTTAAAACACACTAGAGTCAAAGAAAGGCTGCTGTGCAGCAGACATGGGACAATGGGGTGAAAAGATGATGTAAAAACAACTCCTTTGCAAAGCAAAGTTTAGAAAGCAGAGTTTAGTGTGAAGCAGAAAAAGATATACACATTAATTTAACCATATGACTAGGAATGAGGAGCACAAAGACTCTTCTTGCTAGGGAAAAATAAATCCATGGGATCTCCTCAGGTGGAAGAGCATATTCATTACATTTCTGGCAGTGGATTCTCAGTAGGGTGAGAAAGAGAAAGGGTGTCTCATTTTTTGGGGGAACAAGCTTTGTACCTCACCCTGTTCAGAAGCCTACTTTGGTCTCAGTGTCTGGTTTCTGGCACCTGCATGGATTCATTTCCACCACAAGCTCCTGTGTACACCTTCTTTCAGGGTGATGCCTGTCAAAACAAAGCCATGAATTCAACCATTGGCACTTCCCTCTCTCTGTGGTCTTACTCCTAATGCAAACTAGAAATGAAAGCTGCATTTTTTTAAAGGAAGTTTCTGTATTTTGGCAGAATATGGAATAGGGACTATGGCTAGGGCAGAATGATTCTCCACAGAGCAGAAGAGAAGATAATTTAATGCGACGGGGATAGAATAATAGTACTACTAAATTTCTAGAGAATAATAGGCAAACAGTAACACCATTTCCATGCAAAATCAGAAGACCAAATAGGAAAATTATCTAGAGTTACTGAATTTCACTGACCAAGGCCAAAATCTGAGATTCCAACAGGACAATCTTCATTCAGGTTGGTAAGGGATGGATCTGCAGTACCAGAAAGTATTTGGATTCAGCTGACAGAAGCTCTGAGTTACAAGTTAATTTGTGATCATAAAATGGATCAAGAATTGACATGCATTCATTCATTCATTCATTCATTCATTCATTCCTGGGGACACAAAGAAATATTTTCCTTACCCTGCATCCATCAGCTCAGTCTCGAATGGCTGGCAAGACTGGTGAGGTACAGGCATGGCTACCCAGAAGCAGGGAAGAATTCAGACAAGAAGGGAGAAGAGCTTTACTTAGGTTCCCCATCCTAGCTCCCAATTAGCCTTAGAACTGGCTGCAAAGGACCTTGTCTCTTACCTTTCACCCAAGGTACTGCCTGTGGAATATTTAGTTCCACAGCTGGGTTGGTCCTCTAATACACACACACTCTCTTGGTGCACTTCCGAAGGTTTTCTGGTCTGCTAATGCATGAAGGGGAAGTAAATAGCATACAGAAGCTGCCTTCCCACTATAAGCAGAGACCATCAGACTCTCAGACCAAAAAAGCAGAGTATGGCCAGTCCCCTGCAGCTAAACATGCCCTCAGCTAAGCTGGGCCCATTGCTTGCTGCTCTCCAGCCTTATCCAGGGAATATTATCGCTCGCATCAGCCCCCAAATCCTTCAAATTCCACTGCAAGGTGTGGCAGACAGTAAGATGGCACCTACCAAAGTAAAATGAACCCCAAATCTCTGCCTCTGGGGGCTGTGACAGGAGTAAGGATATGGGACTGCCCTTTTTCTTAGGCTGGGAGGGAAGGAATGATGAGCACAGGGGAGCAGGTGCAGGAATCCCAACATGTGCTTCCCATTTCTTATTCTGCCTGGAAAACTGGGAGACAGTCAGAAGTGAGTCTGAGGGGTGGGGGAGCAGGAGGATTAGGAACAGGAGGCCTTTTGTGTTGGTGTGGGAAGCACAGTCGCCGTGCAGCCATGAATCCAGGGCTGACAGCAGGCATGGCAGGACTGTCACGTTCCCCACTCTGCCTGGAATTACCTCACTACCAGCATCTCTTCCACAAAAGCTCCTTCACACCTTCTACAAATGTGTAAAAGTAAACAAACTCCCACTATGGGTAAAAAAAACCTCTGCCAGTGTAAGAAACCTCAAGCAGGGGTTTTTTTAAGCTGAGGGAAATGCACAAAGATTGTGCTGGCTTGTTAAGCTGTACATGCATGAGGATTTTGTGACCTGCTCCCACTTCTAACAGGACTTATCCTGGCTTTCCATAGGTTTGCACACGTATATTGCAAACCATCCATTTTACTCCCTTCAAAGGGAAATATTTTTTCTTTGGCAGTGGGTTGAGCTCATCCTTGTCCCTAAAAAACTGAATGGAGACTTATTCAGGATCACGTTTGATGAGATTTGATGGGTACAGAGGCATGTCCATAGGATGAAACAAGTTCCATTGTTCCTTTGATTCATTTCCAACCACTGAGAGTAAGGCAGTTAAACATGTGAACTCATCTGGGCTTTAAATCCAGGTTTTCCACTGAAAAATTCCATGGCTTAAAACTGAGTATTTCTTATAACAGTAACATTCAATAAAGTACAATACATGCCCTCTGCCACTAAGGAAAAACCAAAATCTTCAAAAACCTGTGTGTGTTCAACAACTCAAATGCTGGGAGCCCTTGGATACAATGCAAGCATGATGCACTTTGGTTTGCCTCCAGTTCTTCAGGCCATTTCCATCTGAGTGTAAGTGCTCAGTGGGAATTAGAATATGAAATGACCTGAGAGAAAGCTCAGTGCATATATTCTACATATATTCCAAAAAGGTCTACATATATTCCAAAAAGTGGTAGAGAAACTATTGCCATAAGTAATTTTATCTATCTTGCAGCTGGAGAAGGAAACAAGGGATAAAGGTTTTCTCATAACTCCAAGAAAGTCCTTTGCTACATAAAGACCTCAGGCTGATGCTGAGCTGAGGAGGACTAAAGGGTTTGGTGAAGGCATGCACAGGAATACCAACTGCACCCCATGACTGTATCACTTTATTGTATCACTGCTACTCTGCACTGCAGAAATTCCTAAAATCACAGAAAAGTCTGGGCTGGAAGGGATCTTATAGATCATCCAGTTCCACCACTGGCCATGGGCAGGGACACCTTCAACTAGCCCAGGTTGCTCAGAGCCCCATCCAACCTGGCCTGAAACACTTCCAGGGATGGGAGCAGCCACAGCTGCTCTGGGCAACCTGTGCCAGAGCCTCACCACTCTCACAGGGAAGAATTTCTTCCCAATATCCAATCTAACCCTGCTCTCTGTCAGTGTGAAGCCATTCCCCCTTGTCCTGTCACTTCAGGCCCTTGTCAAGAGTCTCTCTCCATCTTTCCTGTGGGTTCCCTTCAGGCACTGCAAGGCCACAATGAGTTCACCCCAAAGCCTTCTCTTCCCCAGGCTGAACAATCCCAATTGTTCCCTCAGCCCTTGGTGTCCCTGCTGTGGCCTGGCTGCAGCAGCTCCCTGTCCTTCCTGTGCTGGGCCCAGGGCTGGATGCAGCCCTGCAGGGGGGGCTCAGCAGAGCCGGGCAGAGGGGCAGAATCCCCCTCACTCAGATTATCTGCACATTACTCCTACTGATGGTCTTTGCATGTTAAATGCAGGCTTGGGAGTCATCTACATGAGCTCTCAGACCTGTGTGGCATCAGAAGTCTCACAAGAAAGAATCAGCCATTTGTTTGGGATGGGCTTGTTGCAAATACAGGGCTGGCAAGATGGGTGCTGACAGAGGCACTCCATGGAGCCAGGGCCTTGCTTTCTCTGACAAACTGTCAAGCTAAGCACAAGATACATAAAATCACTTCTTCTAAAAGGAGATGTAAGTCTCCAGAAACAGAAAGTGAGGCCACTTTCGCAAAGACTTTACCAGTCTTCTCTGGGAGCAATCTGTTATAAACCCACTCTCCACTACAAAGAGTAAGAACCACTTCTTTTTCAGGAGAAAAGACACCTTTATTTGTCAGAGAGGAGCAGAAAGGGTAGAAACTGTTTAAGAAAACATCTTTCTTGCATTTCAGGACACTGGGGAACACTGGAGCTATGGCAGTGTTTCAGGTCTTGAAATGTGGCTGTAAGGGAAAAAAAGGAAAGTTTGTTTCATCTAGATGTAGAGTGTAGAATAACTTGTGTCTCCTGCCTTCCTATGTCACACAGATGAAGGCAGTGGAAAGAGTTTTGGTGAGGGAACTCTCAGGTGCCACCATATTTGCCTCAGAGTAGATGTGTGCTGGTGTTTTAGAACTGGCCCTGTCTGAGGGGGATAAACAACTGAGCTGTTTCAACTGGTTTAAGAGCAAGTAGGCAAATTTCATAACTCCCAGCCTGCAAACAAAGATATGAGACCAAAATGAAGAAGTTCGAGTTCAGCTAACAGAGGAGGCACCATGCATTCACATTTTACAGTCCCCTCTGTCACTACTGATTTGGAAAAAACAGTAGCTAGGCAAAGTGTGGCTTCACCTGGAGACACTGCTCCACAAACCTTTCATCCTGTGGATTAAATTTCCTTGTGAAGCCATCAGAGGATTGCATAGAAATCCTTTGCTAGGAAAGGATTTGCTAGGAAAACTGCACCATTAGCATGTGACCTGAGGAAGATACCATCACTGAAACAATTATAATGGTCACTTTTGTAACCTCAGGGTTACAAGGTATGTTTAATCTGGCACCTGCTGTGCCCTGGAAGCCAGGAGGGACATCTCTGTCTTGGGGGCATGAGGTCCAGCATGGCCAGCCAGGCCAGGGACCAGATTCTCCCGCTCTGCTCTGGCCTGGAGCAGCCTCACCTCAAGTTCTGGGGCAGCTTTGGGTGCCATAACAGTAGGAAGACCTAAAGCTGCATACAGAGCTGCATGAGGGGAGGGTTAGGTTTGATTTCAGGAAGAGGTTCTTCCCCCAGAGGGTGGCTGAACACTGAACAAGCTCCCCCAGGCAGTGGTCACAGCACAAAGCCAGATTGAGCTCAAGAAGTGTTTGGACAATGCTCTTAGATACACGGTAATTCTTGGGCTGTCCTGTGCAGGGCCAGGAGTTGGACTGGATGATTCTTGTGGTTCCTTTCCAGTTCAGGACATTCTATGATTCTATGAAACTTCTCCCAGTGAATCTTCAGCAGATTACAACATAGGATGAGTCCTCCATTTCCATGCAAAGCCTAATCCCATGATCTTTCAATCACTAAGGGGTTACCACTCTATCATGCAGGCACAGATTACAGCAGTTCTTCCAGGCAAGAGAAAGGTGATGTCAGAACAGTGAAAAGACTTTGGTTTCTCCAAAGTCTTAACTCATTTAACAATGAGTTAAACTGGTGCAGTATTCCCATTGCCACACATATGGGAAGGTGGAGCCAATTCCATGCAGATGGTGAGCTGTGTGAACAAGAAATTCCAGTCCTGCATCAGCCTGCTGATGTGCCTCCTGCCAGAGGGCATCTGCAGGCTGAGCACTGCCAGTTTCCAGCCTGGGTGCTTTCCCCATTCCACCAGCACTGCTTGGAAAAACAGGGAGAAGGCGCCACATCACACCATCCCTCCTCTGCTCCTTCAGGCCCAGGGAAGCAGGAAATCAACACATTTATCACTCAGAAAGGCAGTTTGGTGACAGTGG